ATAGGGTTCATAGGTTGAGAAACGCTGTATTAGATAACATACGTTATATACCTATTTTAAAGGAAATTAACTTCCAACAAGCAATAAAGGAAGTAATTGAAATGGAAAATAAAAAATACTGAAATAAACTACCTAATTAGCAATTATTAATTCGTTAAAAAAAAGAAAGAATGTTATTCTAACGTTTGTATAATAATCTCTGTAACGTTATGTACAATTTTCCGGAAGAATATATGTGCGATGAACGAAACTATGGAATCGTTGTATTCGATTTCTATTTCTATTATCGCAAAAATTATACATATATATGTGTACATATATTATCTAGAAAAATATATATATATAATGTATATAAACGATATCATCGGGATATTTTTGTAGATTTGTTATATACTATATATTGTGCAATTTTCATCAAAAAGGAAGAGAAAAATTGCCGGAAAAATCATGGTGCATGTATGTATTACGATGGGAGTGGTTAATTAGATCTAATTATTGAATTGGTAGTACATCAAATGTGTATTCTCAAAAATTTAAAATCCAAGTATTTAAAAAATAGAATTTACAATGCTATTATATCGTCAAAAGTTTCATCATTTTATTCATCAAAAATCTATCAAATTAAGTGAAATTTGATGAATATTGATTCATTGATATTTGGAATATTAATTTCATGTTATATTAATAACAAAATTAAAAGAAAGATTCGATAAAAAAAAAAAAGAAAAAAAATAATTCCAAATTTTTAACCAATAATACATATTTTTCATGATATAAATATTTTAATATTTTCTTAATCAAATTTAATAATATTTTTTGGTAAAGATTTTTTGTAATTATATTAAAGATTAATTTATATTAAATATTATATTATATAAAAAATTTAAATCTATGAAAAAATTTTGAAAATATAAAAAATTTTAATACATGTTAATTATTCAAATGATCTACTATAAATAATAACTATTAAATACTATTAAATATATATAATTAAAAATAAATATTTTCTAAATGCAAATAAAATAAAAAAAAAATATATTAAAAATGTGAAGATAAAAAAGTTTAAAGTTGTTTGTGATTATTGAATACATAATTATTGAAAATATTATCATTAAATTAAAACGAGAAAAAATATTTATTTTCTTTTTATAAATATATAAATTATAATAAAATTTCAATATAACTGATATAGTCAATATAATTAGTAAATAAAATCTATAATAATCTATAATAAATCTATGATAATATAATTATTTATTTTTAATTCTTCACTTAGAAATGTTTATTGCTCTTGCTAATAAGAATAAGAGTAAAAGTAAAAACAAACTACGATAGAAAATAAAATCTATTACTATGCAAACTGATAACAAAATTCTATTGCAATAAGAATAAATTCAATTTTTTATATAATTGTTACTAAAGTACAGATTTTTATGCAAATACATATTTTTTATATTATATATATTTTGCATATTTTACAATATAATATTTTACAAATAACATAAATGAATATATTTTTCTTGTGATAATAATATAATTTTTCATTTGTATGATAATTGAATATTATAAACAAATTTAATCATATATTAAAGTATAAATATTAAAGTATAAGTAAAATTTTTACTTACGATAATATCGGAAATTGGAAAAATTTTAAATAGTTTATTTGTAGAAAGAATAGAAGAATGTATTACTTGATATCTTGTAAGTCGTTTTTTCAATTTAAATTGTAAAAATTTTGTATAATTAAATTTATATAAAAAAAAATTATTAACATTTAATAATACTATATATTGAGAATAATTTGTATATTAGAAATAATTTTTATTAATTAAATATTATTGCACAAAAATATCAATCTAATTATAATTTTCGATCTGTTGAATTCAATAAGTTAATGATTATATATGTATATGTAATTATATATTTATTAACATTATATTTCAAAGTGCTGATTGTTCTGAGAAACAATAAGAGTGCAAAGTAATATGTAAATAGAAAGTTAAATTCATTACTTTGTATATATAGTAATGCATGTTTAACTTTTGCAACCCAAGCCTTATCGTGAACATTATTCAGAGAGGTAGAATTCCAGAGAATATATTTTCTTTCTTTAACTTACTCGATGGATTTCTGAATGGATTAAAAAATAGAATGAAAGACATTGATTGATGAGAAGTAACTATTCAAAAGTCCTATCAAGCGATTAAATTCAGTTTATTTTTCCTTACTATGTAAGATTTAAGACAAAAAAATGATATGGATAAAATCTATCTATTAATAAATATTAATGCAATTTCTATTTTTTTTTTCATTTTTTTTTCAAAATACAAAATATCTCACAAAATATAAATTAAAGAATGATTCAACATGCAACAATGAATTGAAAAAAAAAAAAAAAATTTTTTTCATTTTTATTTGAGATTTTGTTATTGAATGAATCAAGTTCGAAAATTTGAGTGCAAATAAAATTGATTAATTTTTGATATAAATGAACTATAGGATTATCTTCATGTGAAAATAAACAAAATCTATAGAATTAATTTTTTTATTTAAAAATTAGTTATAAAAAGAAATTTGAAAATTCAAGAATTAGATTTTCTTAATTGTATATGTATAATCTCGATTTTCTTAAAAAAAAGAATAAAATTTCATTTTACATATTTTTGCTTATTTTCACGCGTAATCTTAATTATTTGATTAGAAATTAATCAATTTAATTTTATTTGTAAAAATTTTTTATTTGAAAAATTTTCAAATTTAATTTCTTTCTTTTCGATTTGATTATTACATGTAGAATAATCTCTTAGTCTATAATTTAGAAGATAATCTGTATATGTATAAAATTTATATTTTTAATTATATTTATTTAAAGAAAATATTTAAAAATACATGAAATTTTTTACACAAATTTTATATCTCTTAATAATATTTTAACTATTATATCGATATTCTTTAAAAGATTAATTTATTAGAATTGGACGAGATATTTACATCAAAGCATATGTAAGAAAGCACGTTCAATAATGTATATGTACATACATATAATATTTCGATATTGTCAGGGTCTCGCGATAGCATCCACTCATCTATAACCATTCAACATTAACGAATATTATAGACATATCGATTTTAGAGTTGTATAATAAACTTTTAAATAAGAAGGCGAACTTTGATATATAATAATCAATATTCATTTAAAAAGTACCTTTACTCGGTATTGGCATCAGTACATGCGATATGAAAAAATGTAATACGATATCTTCCATTATAAACGACAAATGAAATTCTAGATTGAAACAACTGATTGAAATCGAATATAGATACAATGTATTTAATAATCTTCTAATTCTGTTTTTGTTTGATTGAAGTTAATGCATAATTTGAATAACAAAGTAAATTTGAAAATTTTTAATGATTTTTTAAACAATTAAAATAATTGTGAATATTGAAAATATTATCAATTTCATATATAAATACAAATTATAAACGTTATAATTATAAAATATAAACATTTTATAAATGTATATTAAATTCTACGATAACAATGCATTAAAATGTTATATTTATCTAATCTATTTCGCCTTATAATTAAAAAAGATAAAAAAATAAAAAATTTTTAGATAAGGAAAACATATATTACATTTATCAAAATTAAATAAAATAGATTTGTCCAATATGAATCTTTCAGTTCAAATCGATGTTTCAGTGGATTTATTTTTACATTGTTAAAATTGAAAAAATATGATTAAGAAAAAACTTATTTATCTTACAATTAGTTTATCTTAAATATCTAAAATAAGATAGAATAAAATATTATATTTAATATAATAGCAAGTATTTAAAATATCTTAAAATTATTTATTTATTCTATAATATATACATTCTATTTTATTTTAAATAATTAGAAAGATATTTTATTTTATATTTTATATTTGATAATTTATATTAATCACAACTCAAGTTATAATATTAACTCGATATATTCATACTTAATAATTTTTTAAGAATAAATTAATTTTTTATAAGCTGATATTTTTTATCTTTCTTAATCATATAAAAGATTAAATTTTAAAATATTATATAAATAATATAATATAAAATTGTAAATAATATAATATAATAATAAAATATAAATGATAAATATATATATATATATATATATATAGTATTTAAATAATATTAAAAAAATAATTTTTAATTATGTTAATTTTCATTTAGATTTTTTTTAGCATGTAAAGTCATAATAATTGATTTGCAAAAAAAATATTTTTTTTTTTATTAAAAATTTTCTTCAATTTTTATAAATTCATTCATATTGAATTATATTTTCTATACTTGATACATTATATGTAGTAAACCAAATACAAGATCATATATTAAATAGTTTAATTTTATATATGCTTAATATCTATATAAATTATAAATGTACATATATATTTCTCATAAATGTATATCTCATAATAATTTATATTATAATATATATATATTATGTACGAATATGAATATTTTTAAATCATGTTCATGATTATTTCAGAAATCTTATGGTTAGGAAACAAACTTATTAATCTTTCGATAACCTTTCGATTTAACCTTTATAATAAATTTAATATGCATATAAAATGTATATTTACATATGATAGAATATTCTACGATAATTTTAAAAAAACAAAAAAATACAAATATATATAATTATTTCTTAATGATTAACTAGAAATATTCTTATTACCAACTACATTTTTTATTAAACATATCAATCATTTTATACAACTTTTTCTTATTTTTATTCCCCATTCAGAAATTGCTAACGCAATGTTTAATCAGTCAATATAGTAATATACTGCGCAATGATATCATCAATGCAAGGTCTTCCTTTTTTATTCGTGTAAAAAAAAAAACAAAATTTCTTGCCATAAAACACAAGATTGCTTCAAGATTGTGATACACTCTTGTTTTCATAGTGTGGTCCTTGTACATTGCTTAGATTTTATGAGTAACAATTGTGCGCATGTGCAATAAGTATTTCGCATATTAGGACAGTTGTCTGGTGCAACTCATCAGAGATCTTTAATGGTGATGCTCGATTAAATTTATAATTTATAGATATAGTTTATAGTTCTTGAACGTCAACAAAAGAATTTCCTACATAGCTTGATCATACGGTTGGAAAATTCCAATGGAAATAATGTCAATCCTGGACAAATTGTCATATATTAGTCGTGTTCGTCGTTTGACGCACGTGTCAAGCATATGTGTAGGATTTGGAAGTACAAGATACACATATTATGTATACATATATACAGGATTTATCTATCATACAGACTGACTCATTAACCTGTAATCGAGAAGCCGTAAGTTTGCCTTATGTAAGGAAAGGGCTTATTTTGTTTAAATTTATTGTTAAAATCATGAATAATCCATATTATCCCATTATTAAAAAATATAGTTTTTCTGATATATAAAAATGTTCATGAATATATATATTATTTTTTTTATTTTGTTTTTTTACTTATATAACATATTGTTTATTTTTATTCCTTTATTATTATTATTTTTTTTTAAGATAAAAGAATAAATTTCGAAATAAAATATAAAGTTTTAGTTTCAGATATTTATTAATTTCCAAGATATTAATAAAAGATTTTTACTATTATACATTAGATTATTATACATTTTATCTATATATGACAATATAATACAATATATATTATATATACAATATGTACAATATAATTGTTTTTTCTGTTTCAAAAATCAACTGTTTAATATAATTGACCCGATATTTGTAAAATGTCTCATAAAACTTTTAATTATAAAAAATTGCAAAATTGGCGGTTTTCTTAAAGAGGTCAGCTTTAAATTCTAAATTTAACTTAATACTTAAATGAGACCTCTTTTCATTCGAAACATGTCTAAAATAACAGCAATTGTTATATTTATTGTTATGTCAAATTTTAATTACATCGAATCCTTTTGCTATTTATTTATTCTTATTCGTACATAAATTGTTGTACTTGGCATTTGATAAAATGTGTTCAATTTTTTAAGAATGATCAGATTTTTGAGTTATAAATACATCCTATAGATATAAAATTGATATGATTAGACGTCATTGGATATTCGATCGATAAGCGACGCCTATTGTAATGAAAATTATTATATTAGTAATAAAAAAATCGCAGCTTTTCCTGTATCATCTTTCCAAATTTTGCATCGATTAATAACCATATTATATTAAATATAATGAACTATAGATAAATTATTAAAATTATATTTTATTATAGAACGTTCAATTTTTTAAGAAGAATATTTTTAATATTTATATATAATTAATGAGATTTTCCGATATTTTTTTTTAATTTTAGATTTAAAATAAGATTTGATATTTCAAGTTTAAAAAATACATTTTATAATTATCTTATTTCTAGAAGTGGTTTACATGTATTTGCTTTTCGGAATTTCAAAATTATCATGAGTATCTAGATATTATATATATATATCTTTTTGATAACATATAATTTTATAAGAATTTGTGAAGAAATAAACATTATATGAATATATAATGAATGTTATATAATATATAATATATATATTTTTTCTTATTTTACATCATATTCTTTATTTTTATTTCTTTTTATTCTATTATTTTTTTATAATTTTTTAATTTTTAATTTTTAATTTTTTAATATTATAATTATACACATAACTAATAAATAACAAATAATATTAATGATGAAGTAAGATGAATTATTATTAAAAATTAGAAGAATGCTTTTAATATTTATATATATATATACTATTTATATATATTTATACTATATTTTCAGATTACGACATTTTCAGACAAGGTTTCTTTAATTTTAAATTTAAAACGAGGTTTGTGATATTTTGAGCATTTTAAAGCAATATACTTTATGATTGTTTTTCTTTCCTTTTTTGTTTAGAGAAGAATAAATTTTGAGAAGTAAATTGTTATTTAATTAATTAATCGGAGAAGGTGAGTTATCTTATTATTTGATTTTTTAATAATATTTTAAGTCAATAATATGAAAGATAATTAATTGTAATTTAATTAGTGATCTACTTTTTAATAATTAGATAATTTATTATATATTAGTACTAAAATTTGCTATTTATTTACTTCTAATAAATAATTTATAAATTTATTTTATGCCAATTTTATACAAGTTTTAATATATAAAAATTATATTAATATATAAATTTTAATATATAAAAATTTAAATAAAATTAACAAATTTAAAATAAATTTTATCGGATAATAAAAGCTTTATTCTTATTTTTCTCATTATTATTTTTTTAAATCATTGATTTAATTTATTTTTTATTTTTTATTTTTACATTTATAATCATATTTTATAAAATATAATTCAATTGTTTCATATAATATAATAAATATGATAGATATAATTAATCCATAATTAATGATTTGAACTGATATTTTCTTTTTTCTATTTGCTTTATCTATTATGTATTTTGTTATAATAGTAATAAAAAGAATACATTGCAATTATTATTATTCTTCAATTAAAAATTTAATTATTTCTTATTTTATTTTCTTCTCAATTCTTATTTTTTATTTTTTTTATTATTTCTTTGAAGATTTATATATTTTTGTTTATTTTTTTTCTCAATTTTATCTTATATAATAATGTATCAATTTTATCTTATACAATAATAACATAAATATTAGATAACATAATTATTAAATATAAAATATTCGAAATTTCAAAATTTTTTGAAAATGAAAAATTTTTGATATTTCGAACTTCGAAAACATAAAAATTTATTCTTTACAAACTAAAAAGATTATCAATTATTTATTTATAATATTCATTAATATGAAAAATTCTAAAAATCAAAATTTGCCAAAATTTTAATCAACAAAAATAGATATATTAAAAAAAAAAGAAAGATGTATTTTGAGTTAATACATATAATAAAAATTTCGAGATTATAATGTTTCGAATTCGAATTTTGTGAGTTTTAAAAATAAATAAATATTATATATATTATTATTAGTTATTATTATATTAATGATAGATTAATATCTTCAATTTTTTTTCGGTCTCATTTCATCATTGTAATAACATAAATATCGGAAATTAATTTTCCAAATGATTTACAGATCTTTGTTGGATAATAATAGTAATTAAAAAAGTAGACAGCAAGAAAAAAAAAGAATGAAAAAGTTATGTGAAATTATCATATATAACATATAATAAGTTTTCATAGATAAAAAAATGCAATGTCCTTGTTGCGTCCGTTAAACAAGTTTATTATTCAGCAACATGTCAGCCAGACATATATCAGAAGTTTTTGATGTCGCGTGTAACGGTATAATCATTGCAATCAAATTCGTAGGAGGAAATCGATACTCGTTGTTGAATCGTAAAAGAACTAGTATCCTAATCGTGAAGGAAAGGATTAATTCATCTGTGACGAATCTAATGCAAGAAGGAAACCAACTTGTAAATCTTTCGTAAATCGACTTTCACTAGAGTGTCAAGAAGTTCCCATAAAGGTGCAAAACAGATCTGACTAACCTAGATTCTTCTAAGAAGTCTCTATATATAGGGTGCTAATATATTTGTGAAACAATACTTTAGAAGATCGATTTTAGAAATATAAATAAACACAAAAGTTTTATATATATAAAATTTATATTTATTTATTAAATTAGTATATTATATATTATAAAGCAATTTAAATTTTGGTTAGCAAGATGGAAATATGAGATGAAGCAGTCTCATTTTATATCCGTTTCGCTTCGTTTAATGTAAACTTAAATTGCTTACTTAATAAATAAGTTTCATTAATTGATATTTTTATATATTAACTTTTACTTTGTTTTGACCTTTCAGAATTTTCAAAAGATAACAATAATATAAATAAGAATAGTTTTTCTTATATTTATACATATATAAAAGATAATAAGAATTTTTATATTTTGGATATGTAAATATATATATACACATTTTAGTTCTTTATTATATAAAGAAACAAAAATGAAATATTTTATATTTTAATTATTAAGAAAGAGAGAAAGAATTTTTTATGCGTTCATTGCTGTATATCATGAATATATTAATATGTAATATATATATATATAATATATATATAAGTTAAAATATAAGAATATAAAAATATATAAAAATAATATATAAGAATATATTAAGTTGTCTAGAATATTATAAATTTTAATAATTTCAACATTATATTACACAACATTATATTCATATATTTGATGCTTTGTATATTACAAATCTTAAATTAATTTTTATTGTATAAGAGATTCAATTAGAATGTGATATAAATATATTTTTTAAAAATGAGATAAATAAAATAATACAAATGATAAATTATCTCAAAAATATTTTTTTATTAAAATTTTAAATTAATAAATTTTATATTTATTATTAAATCTTTAGTTATTATTATTAGTAAATAATAATAAAATATTAATTCTTGAAATAAAAAATGTCAATTTGAATAATACAATTGAATATAAATTCCTTATGAAAAAATTAATAAATCGAGAATAACAATTAAATAGCAATTTTTTATTTATTTTTTTTCATTTTTTGAAAATTCTTTAAATGCAAATAAAATTGGCTTTTATTTTTGATGGAATATAATGAATTATTGATATGAAAGTATTGATATGATATAAAAATAACTGAAAAATATAAAATAAGATTTTATTGTTTATTCCTTATTATCAAGAAAAATCGAATTTGAAAATTCATCGATTACAAAATTTCTTATTTGTATATATAAACTCGTTTTTCTTAAAAACAGAATTTAAACAATAAAATTTTATTTTATATTTCTTGTTGTATATTATTTTCAGATGTAAAATGACCTCCTTTCATTAATTCATTTGTGTTTAATCAAGAATTAGCAAGTTTTATTTATATTTGTACAATTATGAAACTTAATTTTTTTAAAAAACAAGGTTCAAAAAACAAACAAAAAATCATTATTTTATATTTTCAATTTATTTCTTTATAAGAAATTCACCTATTCATCTGGTTATACTATTTGAATTTTATTATTTTTTTTTTTAGTTTTTATTTATAATCAATCAAAGTTATATAAATGTTTTATTAAAATTTAAATTTATTTTTGAATTTATTCAAAATTTTCTCAATTTCTATTAAAACTTTTAATTAATTTTAAAAATTTAATATTTACAAATTCGATAACATATAGATAAAAAGTATTTATACATTAATGTATTTATTATAATAATAATCAATTAAGTTTAAGCATATTTCATATCATTATTTTAAAATAATTTAAAATAATTTGAGATAAAATATTTAAAACTAAAATTTTTATATTATTACAAATAACAAATAAATCTTAATCACTTAAATCAAATATTATTTCATTTTATGCTGGAACCAAATTATTAATTTGAAAATATATTTAATGCTTAAATTATGAAGTATTATTTATTATTTACGGAATATTATTAAATTAGAAAATAAAATAAAGTAGAAAATATATATTTCAATATAAAAATTAAAAATCTCATGTTCATATATTTTTAATTCGTTCTAATAAAAATTCAAAAAATTTTTAATTTGCTATAATTGAATAGAAAATCTATATTATGATTCTATTTTTATATTATTTTTATTTTATAAATCTACCAAAAAAATATAATAATTGATTAATATTAATAATAATAATACTTAATAAAGTAAAATAATGTTATTAAGTTTATTAAGTTATATTTAATATTTTTAAAAATGTAAATTTTTTGAGGATTTTTTTTCTAAAATTTATATTTTGAGTTTCACGATATGTAAAGATTATGTTTTATATCTTATTATACATATAATACATATAATACATATAATACATATAATAATGTGACTTTAAAACATTATACATGTAATACGTATCGTATAAAATAAAATTTAAATTGGAAATTTTTTATTCGAGATAATTTTCTTATAATTTAATAAAATAGTTATTTCAGAATTGTATTTCTATGAGTTTTTTTATTGCTATTAAAATATATATTTAAAATACTATTTATTTAAATTCTGTTTTAAAGAAAATTTTATTCATAAAATGCATCATTTGAAGAAATAAATATATTTATTTCTATTTATCTATTTCAAAAATTTAAAATTATCTATTTCAAAAAATTTCAAATAAAATTTCCTCCATAAAAATTTGTTTTCATATGATTATATAAAAAAATATTAAAAATAAGATACTACGAAAATAAAATAGATATAATAAAGAAACATTTTTTATTAATAATTTATATTATTATTATTTATTATATATTATATATTATATATTATTATTATATTATATTATTATATTATTATATTATATTATATTATTATTATATTATATATATTATTTATTATATATAGTATTAAAATATATAATATTAATATATTATATTTTCTATAACCATTGTGCAATTTATTATTACAAATATTTCCATTCTACATTTTCTATAATTTTTTTACAATTCAGATGATGCTTAGATGAACAAATAAGAGCACCATCAATAGTTCGTGGAAATTTTTTTTTCGTATTCGTGTCGTGATATAAGATAGACTACTAGAAAATGACGATTCAAGTTGCATTAACATAATGAGATTCTTATTATTGTTGTTTAATTATAGCTTAAGTTATAATTAGAATGAATAATATTATAATTAGAAATGAAATTCGTTCAAACATAGTCATTTATTGATGTATAATGATTAATAAATAATATGTAAATGGAATATGTTTGTGTTTTCTCAAATTGTTGTTTGTTTTTATTTCAGAGTTGGTTGTCGGCAATTTCAGCTACGATGGAAATAGTGGTAAGTTAATTGTGAAATCTCTGAAATCACAGAAAAAAAAATCATAATTACTAGAGATTTATTTATGATTTATAATTTAAAGATATAAAAACCTCTAAATGCTTGTTACTGTTTCAATGCGATCAATTTATTTTTTTCACATGTCAACATATGTCAAATACCACATTCTTAACGTCATTGCATTCACAACGTTTTAATTTTAACGCTATCTCATTTACAATTTAGACAAAAATATTTATGTAATGAATACGAAGTATTCTTTTTCTTTCCAATAATTTATTAATTAAATAAATTAATTTAATGTTATTAATTTTTTAAATTTTATTTAATGTAACGAATTATTAAAATAAGTCAAATTGATTTTTTATTCTTGTAATTATTAAAAATGCATAAATTCTCTCGATATTAATTTTTCATTTTGTATATATATATTTTTTATTATATTTAAAATCAATATTAATTTTTATTTAAAAATATTATTTATATATTTATTTAAAGACTTTATTTTATTCAAATAAAGATTATTAAATATGTACATATACTATTACTATGTCCGGTTTAATTGGAAACAATCGATACGAATAATACGAAAAAATTTCAAAATTATTTATATAATATAATATAATAATGTATGTGTATATAATACATTATGCAATATTAATATTTTTGTATGTTATATTAATTTTTAAACGGAATTGTATCATTTTTAATATGTATTAATTGTTATTTTCTACAAAAAAGTATTAAATAAGTAAAAGTATTAAAAAGTATTATATTATTATATTTATGTATATAAATATAAATATAAATATATATATGTATATAAATATAATAACATAAATTTATATAAAATATAATATTTAAAATATGTAAAATAAAATATTTAAATATATTATATATTAAAATAAAATTATATTATATATTAATTATATATTAAAATAAAATTATTAATTTAAAAGATATTATAATTTGAAATTTATAAAACTTATGAAAGACAATGAACATGCGAATACTTCGATATTACTCATGCTCTCCTTTTTCATAGTATAAGTTTCATAAACTTCAAATTATAATATATATAAATTATAATATATATATTATAATATATAACATAAACATATTACAATATATATAAAACACATACATATACATTATGTTATATATATATATATATATAACATAAACAGCAGTCTAATTATAGCTTAGTTATAAATTTTATGATATAAATATTTTAGTATAATTATAATTTACAAATTTTATGATATAAATAACTAATATTTTCCTATAGAAATTTTTCTATAGAAAATAATAAATAACATCAATTGATATATTAAAAATTAGATAATTCTATTTACAAAATTATGATGTATGATGTTCACGCCTATTTATAGAAAAATTAACTACTTAATGTATTTATCTATATAATTTTTGTTTTTGAAATATATTTTTATATCATATTATATTTTTATTATATTTTTCCAAATTTTTAAATATTTTCAGTTAAATCGAATATAGTTATTTTTATGTACTTTAGTTATCTATATAATAATCCCAGATTTGAAATTCAATTGAAATAATAAAATTTTTGAAAATAATTATTTATTATATTATATTATAAACATGTATTATATTATTAACATTAAATATTAATATTAATAAATTGTATATTTTATGTTTTTACATTATTTTTATTTGATCATTGAATAATAATAATAGATCATTGAAGAATTTATTTGAGAAAATAATTTTTTTAATTGAAATTTTATTTAGTAATAATATTATTTAAAATAAATATAGAAAATATAATAAATATATAATGAATATAACAATAATAAATATGTAATAATAATATTTAATGATATTAAAAAACCAATCATTTTCATCAAATTCAAATAATAAATAATCATATCAAATAATAATTTATTTAAAGTGATAAATATAAGTTATATAATTGAAAATACATTAATTTATTTTTTATGTAAATAATTTTATATAATAAAAAATAAAATATTTTTCAAATAACTATAAAAAATAATTTTAAAATAATGAGATTCATAAATTTTTTCGTAATATGTCCAAGTGTACAATATATATATATTTAGATTCATATTATAGTTGATAATTTTAATATTAATTTATTATTTTTATTTATAACTTTTCAATTTTCTTATTTTTTTGTAACATAATACAATCAATAAAATTTTTAATGTAGATAATTTAATGTAAGATAATTTTTTTATTTTACTAAATTTATATTAAATATGTTTTAATTATTGCAAAAACGTATAAAAATTCTTTTTACAGGACCATTGCATTGGGGCGATGAATACAAACAATGCGTAGGAAAATTCCAGTCACCCATTGATATAGAAGAAAAGGATGTCACAAACATGACTTTTCCAAAACTCCAATTTTCTGATACAGAGAATTCCCACGTAGCTTACATGATTAATAATGGCCATACAGGTATAAATGTTATAGCAATGTTAAAATATTAACTTTGTAAATAAACATTCGAAAATAACTATTGTCTAACATCGTTAAAGTGCTGTTCAAGTAAATTCAATTTTATTTCAATGAAAAATAATTATACATATATACAAATGATTATTGAAAAACGTCTATGAATTATATACAGTGTGACGGGTTTATCTCGAAACGCGTTCGAAAAATATGAATTATATGAAGAAATGTTTTAAACAGAAATTATTTGATATAAAAAAATATATTATGTAATATTAATAATTTTTTTATAAATTGAATTTTTCAGAAATCATATGAAGATCAACTTTATTTTCTTTTTAATATAATTATATAATTTTTATTATACAATTCATTATTTTTTTATTTTTTTAAAATAAAGTACTAAGCTCTTTATGCCAAAAAATTTTTAATTTGGAAGTTTTAACTTGAAGAACTATAACTTGAAGCTCTTAACTTATCATATGAAAGATAAAAAGACTGTGAAAAATATTGTAGAATATCGCTTCATATATTTCTTTTCTTTTATATTTATAATAAGTATTCAAGATAAATAAGATATTGTACATTTCTATATTTATAAGACACTAAAATATATATAAGTATAGAAATGTACAGAATGAATATAAAATTGAATAAATATTCATAGCTATTAATGATAGATAACAATTGAAAACTAAACTTACAATAGACAATAATCGTAATAATTATAATTATAATAATATTATAGACTTTCATCTTTTCTTATAATGCATATAATACTTTTCTCTTTGTTAATTAATAATGTATAAAATTTGATAATATTGTCGATTAATATTACTAAAATATTAATAATCATAATATTTAAATTATTAAAATAAAAATATCAATTTTATTAATAAATTGCTGATTAAAAGTTTAATTTCTTAAAAATTAAATTCGATATATATAGTCTCTTTTATCGAAACCAAAATTTTTAAGAAATCAATTTTTTTTTTCAATCATCAATTATTTTTTTTATCAATATTATCAACCTCGATTTTAAAAAAATTATTGTATCAAGCAATTTCATGAGAGAAAATTTAACAAAGAGAAATGTGAACAATAAATCTTGTTGATCAAAATAATAATTCGAACCGTATTCAGAACAAAGAACATTATATCAACAAATATGCATCAGATAAGTATAAACTTGATTTAAATGGATATCCATTTTATGATATTGGAATTCCATGTCTCTAACCATGATTGCACATACTGATGATTTAATAATCAATAATTCCATATACATATCTGTTCTTATTTTTATGCATACTAAAAGATATTGCATCGTTTAATTCAAAAATATATATATTCATTTTCTTTCATTTTCTTTTCATTTTCTTTTCTAATGTTTAATTTTAAACATCCTGAATATTATTTTCATTCTTGGTAATACATATACATATACATATAAATTTTTTATATTCATTTGCATTACTGAAAGACATTGTTTAACTAGAATATAAATTTGTTTGTCTCTTATTTTTTTTTAAATTTTAAATCCATTTTCATTATTATTGGTTTTTATTATTATTTACATATAGAATGTCTGTTTTATCTAATTCTAAATGATGAACAATGAAATATCTTTTAAGGAAAAAATGTTATAAAAAAATGTTTTAACAAAAGTTGTTTGATAAAAGAAATACATTATGCTTTGATAAAAGAAATACTAATAGATTTTTTTTTTAAGTATCTAGATAGAATAGAAAATAACCTTTGTATTTTAATGCTATTTAATGATATACTCATCATGAAACTCTTTTAATAACAAGTATATTCGTCATGCAATAAAATAAAATATCTTTTATTATTTTATTAATTGAAATTTTTATAAAAAAAAGGTATTTTTTTTTTAATTAGAATATAGAAATAAAAATGGATAATAACTTTTTGCATTTTTATGAAAATATTTTTATATTTGACGCAAATGAATTAATATTTTACAAAATTAGAGTCATTTTTTATGAAAATTGCATTTACTCAATCTATTTATTTTTTCGTTTTATAAATAACGTGTTTGTTATTGTACAATCTTAAGACAATTAAAATTGAACAGTAGTACAATTTGAACAGTATAAAATATAAATCTCAATCAATAATATATATTGTACATATTATTGTATTAATAACATTGTAATAATATTTATTAATGAATTTAATTAATGAATTTTTGAATAATTATTAATTTTTTAAATATCCTAACTTGTAATAATTATCATTGCTTAATTTTAATTTAAATTAATTTTAATTACAAACAATTAAATATATACTTTCAAAGAAAAATTCCATTAGAAGATAGAATTAAATGGAATTGTATGATTTTTAATGCACTAATTACTAATAATAAACAGTTTGTTATTTTCTGTTTAAAAGAGCATTATGTTATTTATACATATGTTATTTATATATATCAAAAATTGATTCATTTTTTTAACTTATCATTTGTAAATACAAAGAGCATTAAAGTATCGCTTCATATGTTCCTTTTCTTTCATATTTCTCTATAAATTTTAAATATAATTTCCATATAATTTTACATATAACTCCAACTACAATACTTTTTAAATGATTTTTCGATATATATATATTTTAATATTTTTTTATAGAAAATAATAAATGTTGTCAATACAATAAAAATTATATAATTTTATTCAAAAAAAAAAAAAATCAAAGTCATTTTCAAGTTTTTTTAAACTTTTTTTTAAACGATATTTCATTAAAATTATATAAAAAGAAACTTATATTTTTCTATTTATATTTTTCTATTTGTTTACATAACAAATTTTACATAATTAGAATATAATTTGTTTGTTATTCTTTCTGTTTAGTTTTCAATTGCATTGCTTTTATTGTTAGTATTATTTATATGTCATTTGAAAGTATTGTAAATTATAAAATTATTATCATTATTATCAAATATAAATTATTATCATTATAAAATTAAAATACAGAACTGCAAGAAAAATTTTTTAAATAAATAAATTCTTTTTCGAGTGATATAAAATTTTATAAATAAACTTTTCTTTCAAATAATAATTATATATTATATTATATAGTATATAATATTTCAAATATATATTTTAATATCAATTTATATTATTATTATTAATTTAGAATTTTATTCAAATGTAAGAAAATATTATTTTATATGAAAATACTTCCCATAAGAAATTTTTAATTATAATATTATTGTTGTAAGATATATTATCATGCTATTCTATATTAGTTCATCCCCTAAGTAATATGGTTTTAAAAACATATTACTAATTTAACACATTAATTACATAATTTAACATTAATTTCAATATAAAAAAAAATAATACGGTAATTATACAGAGAAAAGGAGCGCTGATGATCCACACTGTTTCTATCTCAATTTTATTGAATCATAATAATAATAATATTAAATAATGTTACTTGATCTATATTAAAATTAATTATAGAGGAAAGTATGTATAAGAATATATGATTAAATATATGATTAGACTGGTTTCAGATATATTTTAAATTTTATTGACTAAGTATTAAGTATTACTAAGTTTTAATTGGATTTATAAATGAAAATATTTCCGCTATTATATTAAAAAATTCGAAAAAAGTACGGATTTCAATTCCACCATATGGAAATCGAATTTAGTGCTATGATAGTTAGAGAAATTTATTTCGTCGCAAATATGATTTTGATAGTCGAATACTAGCATTTTTTAAATTATATAATTTTTTAATATAATTTTTAGTCAATAATATAAGGAGAATTCAAATGAAATAATATATAATATTTATTTATTATTATTTATTAAAAAATGTGATTAAATAATTATTAAATTATTTAATTAACTAGATTTAAATTTAAGATATTGTTTCGTTTAATTTTGGGATAACTTTAAATTAAGTAATGTAACATAAATCTAATCCTAAAAACCTAACTTAAATTTAATTCAAATTAAATTAAATCTATTTTAAATATTAAAAATATGATATTTTTTTTAAAGTATTTAATTTTAAATTTATTAATTTACATAATTTCCATTTTCAAAAACTTTGCTATTTAAAAAATTTTATAATTAACAAAATAACCGATAATTTGTTGGTATTGAAGAATATAATGAATGCAATATATTAATATTTAATTAATTAAATAATTCACTGGTTCCTATTATTATTGTATATATATGTATATATAATCAATCATTGTATAATGCAAAGTAAGTTTTTTTAGTTTATTGATCGTTTGTTTATCAAAATTACATAAATATTTTAATTTTTCAATTGTATATACGATAATTTGATTTTACATTGATATATAATCAATATATAATCAATGTATATATAATCAATCATTGTATAATGCAAAGTAAGTTTTTTTAGTTTATTGATCGTTTATCAAAATTACATAAATATTTTAATTTTTCAGTTGTATATACGATAATTTGATTTTACATTGATGAATATATGATTTTTTGTAAGTGAAACTGGAAATTTATTTATAAAATGACTTAATATATGATATAATATATAAAAAACTCAGAAATAAAAAATAAACAAAGAACAGAAAATGAAATTATTATTAAATATTTAAAATAAAATATTTTATTTATATCCGAGTATATTTATATCCGCATAATATATATTTATTTATAATTTAAACATTAAATGACACATATAGATACTTTTAAATAGTATTTGTCAATGAAAATATTTCAGAATATTTTAATTTTTTATGTATTTCAATTTTTCCTCAGCTTTCAAATTAAAAATAATGACTATCGTATGGAAAGTGAATGATTAAACACTGAACGCAAGCTATTTTTAACAATTACAGAAATACTAATGTTTAAAACATTTCCTTCCAGGAAAGTAGAGAATTTAAAAGTCTGATTAACCTGTATACGAGCATTGATTATTTCGAATATTCTGAACGTTTCTCAAACGTGATTCTTATCCTTGAACAGCTGGAAATTAACGTTTATTATTGTACAGACAAGTCATAACAGACATTGTCTTGTTGCAATTAAGATAAAGACTTAAGAAAGATAAAGACTCATGCGCATCGAAAGAATGACTATTATAAAATAAGACTGTTTTATCAGATTAATTTTGCAAATATAATAAATATCGTTGTATCACACACTGTTTTAGTGATGATTCGAAGTTTCGATCCTGATTTGCCCACGATATCAGGCGGGCCCATCAATAATACATACGTGTTTCAACAATTACACTTTCATTGGGGTCAAAATGATAATCTTGGATCCGAGGATCTTATTAATAATCACTCGTTTTCCATGGAGTTGCACGCAGTCTTTTGGAAGAAACAATATGGCTCATATGATAAAGCGACAGAATATTCTGATGGCCTCACTGTGCTTGGATACTTGTATCAGGTAAATATTAGATCATTACACGAATAATATTGCTTTAAAAGAATCAGTTTATTATAAACTTTTAAAATAGAATCAATTCATTATAGCTATAATACGTTCTTTTTATATTATAATAAAAAATAATGGATATTATTTTTAATAATTACTGTATATTTAATAATTACTGTATATTGTATATTTCTTATACAGCATATTAATATGTGAAAATTAAAATATCGATTTTAAAGAACAAAGATAAACTTAAAAATTAGTACACTAAAAATACAGAACTGGAAAAAATAAATTTTTTAAATAGATAAATAAAAATAAATATTTCGAGTGATATAGGATTTTATAAATAAATTTTTTCTTGAAAAAATAGTATTTTTAAATAATATACAAGGTGTTAAGATATTCATAGAATATCTTTTTTCATAGAAAATCGATTTTAGAAGACAAAACAAACAAAAATTGTGTTGAGGCTTATTTATTAAAATATAAGTTTACATTAGAGAAAGCGAGATATACATAAAGTAAGACGAAATTGTGTCTTTGTTATATCATTGTTTTATTTTCTTCTTATGTCACTTCATTTAACACGAACTTGTAAATATATTTCGATTGACATTTTTGTATACTAATTTTTGTATTTGTTTTGGCTTTTTTAAAATCAATTCTTCTAAAATATTCTACGAATACATTAACATCTTGTATAATATTTGGAATAAGTTTTTAATTTAACATTTTATATTACGATGTAAGCTAATAAAATATCATATTCAATTTATACACGAATTAAAAAAATTTTTAATAAATTTTAAATTTGCATTGAATTTTCTATCTCTTATTTTCGAATTCAAGAGTCAATAATAAATAATATTTAATCATGATTTAATAAAATAGAAATTTTTTCAATTCAATATTCAATTTAAGCATAAAATAAAATAGTATTTTTTGATAATATTTGACTTAATCATTAAATATAATAGTATTTTCAAATAATATTTGTTTATAAAAATTTTTCAATTTTTATTTTGTCTCAAACTATTTCAAATTTTCCCTTATTTTACAAAAATGTTGATTAAAGCTTATTTATTAAATTATTTAATTATCAATAATTAAATTAGATAAAGACTAAAATATCTTCGTTTTGCTTTTTTTTTTATATAAATTTCAATTACTTATGATATAATAAATAAGCTTTAATTGATATTTTTGTATAGTAACTTTTATATTTGTTTTGGAAAATTATCTAAAATCAATCTTTCAAGGATGAATAGTTACGAATAAAAAAATTCATCAACTTGTACGCTCGATATATCATATCATGCTTTTGTCACAAAGAAAACGAATTTATAGATAAAAATAATTAAATAACTAACATTAACTAACATTAACGAATAATAAATTCTTATTCACTACTAATAATTTAACGATTATTAAATAATAAAAAATATTAATTATTAAACGATTATTAAAATGATTATATACAATAAAAATAATAGTAGAAGTAAAAAATAAAAATTTAATTGATATAAATATATCATATCTATTAAATTCTTTTGATCTAAAATATTTTAAATGACCAAATTTTTAAAAATGAAAATCACGTAATTAATATTAATAATATATTTAAAAAATTAATATATTAATATATTAAAAAGTTGTTCATTACACAAAAAGATATATTTTAATTGAATATTATCACTCGAATGTTATCGTTTATCATGATTGTGGGATTGTTTATAAACTATTTATATTGTGAATAAATTTTGAATGAACTTAATAATGATTGACTCTAATTATTTTTTATAGATGATTAATTATGATCTGACTGACTTTTGATTTCTTTTTCTCTGATTGAATTCCGTGATCTCTGATCGAACTGAATATGATTTGATTGAATTCTGCGACGATTAAATAAAAAAAAATGCGATCTTATTTGAATTAAATTTTTCTGACTTCTGCAATTTCTAATCAAATTCCGATTTCTGCAACGATTAATTGCAATCTCACTGATTTCCGCGATTTCTAATCGAACTCTAATTTTTGGAAAACTTTATGAATTATGAATCTTTCTTAGTTATTCTTCAAGTAATTATTTTTTATGAAAATGTAACTAAGTAAAAAAATATAAGAAAAAATGTAAAAAGAACTAATATTGCGTTAAAAAATAATCTTCAATGATGAGTATTCATGAGTGGGATAGCGTCGCAACAGAGAGATTAAGACTTTTGAGACCGTTTCTCTATAATGGTCGGTTGCAAAGCATTTGGCGCACAAATGTGACTTATGAAGTAGCTAATGCTTTGTATTTTAATCATTCGAATAACTGCTATTGAGAATTTGAAACAATACGAAGAAATTGTACCTGCTCATAAATTATTAAACTACAAAAACTTTAAAATATTGATAATGCTGAAGCTATTGAAATTCGAATATCTTGGCCATAAATCAGTTCTGGTTTTTGTCCTTAACGAGTATTTAATTTAAAAGACAAAATATTTTTAAAAAGTCAAAAAAGCTTGTTCAAAAAAGAGAAATATATTTATTTTTTTTAAAGTAAACATAAATTTTGTGATTTTTTTTTTTTTTTGATTCTAGGCTTATAAAATATCGCTCATAAAATAATATAGGATATGATATAGGATAAAATAATATAAAATAATATAGGATATGATATTAAATGAGAATTTTTGGGATACAAAAAAATTTTTATTTGAGAAAATTTAGAATAAAATTAAATTTTCTAAATAGAAAAATTTAAATACTAGTATAGAGATAAGTCAAAACCGGATATTTAAATTCACAAAAACTCAAATCTGAAATTTTATGAGAATTCTTGAAATTTTCGAGATCTTATTTTTTTTTCTTTGTATTTATTTTATCAAAAACTAAAATTTTAACAAATTTTGATTTCTTCGAAACTCATATCTCTAATTAATCAATAAACATTTCACCTTGTAGAAAATTTTATTATTTTTTATTTTTTTTTATCTACGTAATGAAATAATAAAATAATGAAATAAAATTTCCTAAGTTGTTTATTTATTATATATTGTTTGTTTATTTATTCAATTATTCTTTATCTGAATTTTAAGAATTTCAAATCACAAAATATTTCGAAATTTAAGAAGTTAAAATTTTTTAAACATTAAAGAGTTTTCAGATTTAAAATATATCATTTTTAGTAAATACACTAAATATTTGTATTACAATGAAACTATAAAATTAAAGATAAGTATATATATCATAAAATAATTTAAAAATTACTAATTTTAAATTATACTATTTATTAAATTATTATATTAAATTATACTAGATTATCTAAAATTAATGATAACATACAAAATAAAACAATAATGTAAAAATAAAAAACATCCAATGTTATGAAGTAACAAAATACTCTAAATGAATAAAAATCTTGTTTAATGTTTTCTGTTTAATATTTTTTTTTTTTTTAAAAATGCTACTTGTATTATTAATAAATCATACAAATAAATGAAAGAATTATATTAATTGGGAGATAATTTATAACCATTTAAGTAAAAAAAATTTATTTAAATATCAATTTTTTTTTACAAATGTATTAATTTTTTTTTATAAATATTAAATAACAATATTAATTGATTTTTTTAAATTAAATTTGTAACTTATCTTTCTTGGATTTTTAAAATCCAAGGAGGTTTTAAATTTAATTTGAATATTAAAATTATCTCTTTTCTTTAATCTGTTATCAAAAAAAATGAAAAAATAATCGTCAATAAAAAATATAAAAAAATATTGTATATTGTAATTCATTTGATTAATAAAAACTCATTCATGATTAATGAAATCATTTATAATAAAAACAATGTTTTTAAAAATAAAATAACATTGTTATATATAACATTGTTAAATTTATTTTTTTTATTATCATCTAATATTATATAGAATGTTAATATATATATATATATACATGGAAATCATTTTTGTAAAGTCAATTCTAGAAATTAAAATAAAAAGAAGTTGATATATAAAAATATTGAAGTTATTTATTAAATTATAAACAATTTAAGTTTGCCACAGAATAAGTCAGTAATGTGATGAAGATAGAATGATCTTACTTTATCTCCGTTTCGCTTCGTTTAAATTGCTTATAACTTTATAAATAAACCTCAACCGACATTTTTATATCAATTTTTGTATTTATTTTTATCTTTAGAATCAATTATCTAAAGATCAAATAAATGTATTAACATTCTATATAGTCTAGTTTCTGCATATTTCAATCCATTAAAAAATCACATATTATTTTTTTTACATTTATTACTTATAATTTTATAATATATATATATATATATATATATATATATATATATATCATTAATATTTTTGAAGATAAATTATAAAAAAAGATATGATCTTTTACTTTGTGCAAAAAAATATAAATATCACATATATATATATATATCATTATACATGATATATTCTATTTTTATGCAGTATAAATGTATATGCTTTTACACATTTTAATAAATTTAAATATGTTTGATGTTTGTTTAAATTTAAGAAAAATATTATTTTAATTGAGAAGCTCATTAATAATAAAAAACGATTTTTATCTAATTTCAATTATTCTCTAATTTTATAATTAATAAATTTACATATAAATTATATATAATATATTAAATAATATAATATATATTATATTAAATAAATTATATATATATAAATTTATATATAAAATAATAATATAACAAATAATATATGCAGCAATCATATAATAGCGTACAATAAACAATTTTATCATAGAAAATTCTGATCTATGAAATAAAAATCTAATCAAAAATTAAAGATATTTTTTTTTCTCTTTGGAATAAAACAAATATGATTATTATCATTTTTGTTAAATTTTTCAACAAATAATTAAGTAAATATTGTCATTCTATAATTTATTATTTTATAAAATTTTAAAAATATATAAATATATTTATATGTATATTATAGCTTTTAATATTAAATTAACATATATTCCAAGATTAATATATAATTATATTTTATATTAAATATTATATATATAAATTAATATATTAAAATTAATATATATTAATTTCTATAATGATTTAATTAAATATATATCTAATATATATTATATTTAATATATAAAATGATAAAAGTAAATAATAATAAAAAAAATATATATGTTATAGGCCACAGATAAATCGAATCCAGTTTTTGAATCGATTGTGTCTCATATATTGAACATAGCGGAAGTTGACAGCAATATAACATTAAATGATAATACTGTTCTGGGCAAATTAATTTCACCTGATATTGCATCAGCGGAAAATTATTTTACATATAAAGGATCATTAACCACACCTCCATGTCTCGAGATTGTCCAATGGATCGATTTTGTGGAACCTCAATACCTTTCTCACGAACAGGTATTTAATTTTAATGATATATATATAATATTTTATATATATTAAATTTTATATATATATAATGAAATATCATTATATATATATTTATATAAGATATTTTTAAATTTTAAAATATGCAAATAATAAATAGTTTCTAATATTCAAATTAATAATCTATAATGATCATTATGATATTATTAGGAATAGAAATTTTTGAACAGAAATAATTTATCTTTTCTTAGAATCGTTATTTTATAACAGAGAATATGTGAATATATGATATACACATAATATTTTTTTAATTATTAAATTATTACATATAAAATTGTCAATTTTACAAATCTATAAAATTAAAAACAATTCAAAAATAACGACAAAAATAAGTGACAAAAGTAAGTATATCAAATAATATAAATTGTTACAATCAATTTAAAGTTTGAGGATAGATACAATTTGAATATTATTTTATTAATTTTTTTATTATTATTATTATAAAAAAGAAAATTACGCATTTTAATAAATTATATTTCAAAATCAAATTTGAAAGATTTCTTATATAAATTTAAAATTCAGTATAATATACCAGAAAAAAAACTTATAACATTAACATAGAATTTTCGAAAAAATTGCATTAAAGAATCAAACAATATTCTATTGGTATAAAATATTATAAATGTTTATAATTTATAAATAATTATAAAAAATAAAGAAAGAAATAGCATATTTTTATTGATAACAATCATTTCTAAATTGATCACTAAATGATAAAAATTTTAACTTTTTTAAAAAAAATGATGAATTTATTCAATTCAAATTTTTATCATAATTAATCAATATCATTTTCAATAAAACTACAAGTATTAAAACTTTTATATTAAAAATTCGATCGTTTCATTTGCAATAATGTAATATTTAAAATATAGTTTTTTTTAATATCAAATCACAATTATTCTTAGTATATTAAGTTTCATTTAATTATTTTTTATTTGTATTTCAAAAAATATTTGAAAATTCTCTAATACAATTGAACCTCTATACAATGGAATTTCTAACGAAACATTCATTAAATTTAAATATCTTAATATGTGAACATTCTATTACCTGAATTATATGCTATCTCTATTTGTAAATGTAACTAAATGTAAACAGACATCTTTCTTTATCATAGTAGCGGAAATAGAATTTAATTTGAAATTGACATTGAACATATTCACATAGTATACATATGATATATCATATAGTATATATGACACCAAAACATAAACGTTCAATTATTCGAAACGAAAACGGAAATCCTTAAAAAATTAACTCTTACCTTATAATGACGCCTTTAAAACTTCATGGATTTCAAATACGTTCTAATAATTGAGTTGTCAGAAAGTTATCTATTTATTGCGTTCTATAAAAATATCAACAATTCTGAATATTTTTATCTTCATTTTATTTTATTTTAACCAATTAATACATGTATTTGTTTTGAATAAAATTAAATAATACTTTGATTTAACATTTCTCGATTAAATTATAAAATAAAGAATCAAGAAACTATAAGAGCATAGATTTAGTAAAAAAATATAAAAATATTGGAAAATCCATAATTAGGATTAAAAAACAAAAAAGTGAAAATTATTTATATTTAAGTACATCAACATCAAATGTATCTTTCAATAGAAAATGCCGAAAAATGAAAATGAAAAATGAAAAATAGAAAAATCTCAATTTTATTACAAATGAACATATTTTCCTCAAAATATAAAATAATTTATTTATAAAAATTATGTTATTCGAAAATTTTTTTATTTTTTATTTTCTTAACAATCTTGTTTCATTATTTTGGATAATGGAGGTTATATTGAAATTCTAATTTGAAAATCTGAATAATATAATTTTATTAATTTCCTTCATTTATAAATCAGTTATAAATCTTCTATAAATATAAATTTTCAAATTATTTGCCATTTATTTTATATTTTTATTTTTGTGATTTTTAAACAAATTTATTTTCTGAAAGCTAAAATTTATTTCTATAAACGAAGTTAAACTTTTATCATTATCATTATAGTACTCGAAATAATTACATAAAAAATAGATTTTATCTTTCTTTTTTATAGATTTTCCTTGATTTGAATTTTTATTGAAAAAATTCTTAGAAAAATATTAATCTTTCTATAATCTATTTGTACGAATTTGTTGAATCTTTTTGTGATTAGATAATTGTGATAAGATAATCTCCATAATTCGAAGATTTTAATTTTATATCCAAGATTCACATTACTGAAATTTAATTATAAATATTTTTAAATAAAAAATGCCTTATAATTAAAGTATTTCTAATTTTATCTAGTTAATATTATAGTTTTTTTTTTTTACTTATAATATTATAAATATAATAATATAATAAATATAATATAAAAAAATAAATATAATAAAATAAAATATAATAAATAAAATAAATATAATAAATATAATAAATATAATATTATAAATATAATATAATATTTCTACTTTAATATTATAAATATAATTCATATTTATAAATAAAATATACTTATATACTTTCGAATAATGAAATAGTATATAAATATTTTTAGACAATGTTTTAATATATATGTGTAATTAAACTCTAACATCGCTTAAACATGAATATGAAAGATATATTGTACAAATATATTCTGCAAACACTTTCTTTCAGCTTTATGACTATTTAAACTTGATTATTAGAAGTCTTTTACTGGTTTCCTTAAATGTTTAAATAAACTCTTATTCTTATCCCATAAATTGCTATACATAGAAAATTAATATATTTTAATATTTCAATTATTAGAAATGTAAAATCTAAAAAAAAAATGCAAAAAGAATTATTTCAAAAAGATAAATTTAATATAAAATCTTTAAAAATATTTAAATCTTAAAAAAAAAAAAGAATAAAAACGAATAAAAGACTATTTTTTTCTCAAACAATTTAAAAATATCTTCTGTAAACAGTCTTAAATTGTACTGCTTCGTAATACAGCTAATAATTATAATTAATTGTCTATATTTACTTTATTTATTTGCAGTTGGCTGTGTTTCGTAAAATTCAATCCAGTGATGGAAGAAATTTAACACATAATTTCCGTCCGGTGCAACCATTAGATGGTAGAATAGTTTATCGTAATGTCCCAACTTCCATGATTTTCGGAACTACTATTATTACGTCAACAGATTCTAAACAAACGATGAATAATTCTAAAAAACTAAAGCCAACAAAACAATCTAATGAAGAAGATTCTCACAAGGAAGATGATCATAATGGACAACAAAGCATGTGGACCGTATCACGTTTGTATCTTTTTTAGGATTACAATTTATTTTGATAATATGATTAAAAACATTTAATTAAAATTAAAATTGATGTTAATAAAGATTAAAATTGATGTTAAAATTGTAAAATATACATTAATCTTGAAAATAGTTAAATAGAACTATTCCTATAATGAAAAATATAGGAATATATGTTTAAAAAATAATTGTATATAAATAATATAAATAATATGAATATATCAATAATTTGATTTTATTTTTGTTGCAGCATTTGGAGTGATACTTGGACTTATTTTTCTTTTACAATATCAATAATATAAGGAAGCTTTAGTCAATTATTTTGACTTTTATGTAATTTAAAATAATTAATAATAAATAAGTAAATTAAATAATATTATATTTAACATTAAACTATTTAATATTATATTTAATGTTGTGTATTTACACAATACTTTTTGGTGCAAAAAAATTTATGAAATTATTAAATATCTTTATATTTAAAAGATTTTATTATTTAAGATATTTATCATTTTTAAGATAAAAATGAAAATAAATGTTTTTATTTTTAATTAAATATATATTATCATTTAATTGTAAAAGCATTTTAAATAATGTACATATACATATATTTAAAAAATGTATTCTTATATTATTATTAATATTGACTGATTATAAGTACTACAAACATGATACTCATATAATCTTTTTTTTGAATATGATAATTAAAGCAGTAGAAATAGAAAATAAATAGTAATTAAATTTGATTATATTTATTTAATAAACAAGGAAATAAAAATATTATATATTTATAAAAATGATTGTATACCAAAAATATTATATATGTTTATTCAATAGTTCCTACTGCTGCCATGATAATATATGTATTTTATTGAATTTGGTAAATTGTGTGTTTTCTCACAAATATGTTTATAAAATATATTGTATTAAAATGCTTACAACTTAGATAATAATAAAACAAATTATTAATAATGCATTTTATTCATTTCTTATAAAATTTTTTACAATTTCATAAAATATTTTATAAAGATTTTATAAGACAAAATATCTAAATATTATAATTAAATATATACATATATACATATTACATATATATATATCTAAAAATTATATTATTAATAACATTAAGTTGATGATTCTATTTGGTCTTTGGTTGCCATATTCACCACAGCAGCTAAATCATGCTGCCCTTGTTTAAGACGTTCTCTTATAAGTTCTGCTATTGCTTTTTGAGTTCTCCTTTCTAATTTTTCTAATTTCTTAGCAACATCTCGTTTTAAATCCCAATCTGGTTTTCTAGGGGCAAGATTGCTGATATCCTAAAAGATAACAATAAAATGAAATAAAAATAAATATTTTAAATTGTAATTGATCGTTGAAATAATAAATAATTACTTACAAGTTCTTCAATAACAACTTTCGTATTTGCAGCACTTAATTGATCTTTTACTTCCTCTTCTACATTGCCTGGCTTCGCATCTTCTAATACTTTATCTTTGAGACTTTCATCCTGTGGTTTATAACTTCGAAATTTTGGTCTGTCATATTGAAATAAATAAAACACAAAAATTAGTATTAATTATTAAAGGTTAGTTAAGATTAGATTTGAATATGAATAAAATTAAAAAAGAAAAAAAAACAAAACTTACTTCGGTAATTTACTAGCATTTTCAGTCTTATTTTCTTTATTTTCCTCAGTCTTCTTCTTCAAAGCTTGTAAACGTTCTTTTCTTTTTAAAGCTTCTTCTTCCAATGAACCTATCTTATCTTCCGCCATATTTGTTTTCTTACACGTTATTATAGGTGGCGTTAATACGTATTTATATTTTAATACAATAAATATAAATTTGAAGATTCTTTTATATTATTTAATTTATGTTAAAATGAATATATATAGGTATAAAATTCGATGTCAATAAATCAAAATATGAAAATAATGCAATAATTGTCTTCTGATATTTAACAGAATTGCCGAAGAATATTTTGCCGCGTAAAATATATTATAAGGATTGCCACAATTGAAAAAGTAAAAGAAAGTAATAAATACTAATAGCGGAACTTAAAAAATAGAAGAAATAATGGGAATTTTTTATTTGTACTCTCAGGAGATAGGGAATGTATTCAAACAACATAATACAATAGAACATTTGTTATTTCTCTCATTTCTAATTTTAAGTTACATTATCATTATTTCTTTTTTTATTTTTCTAATGGTTATATTTTTTCCAGCAATCTTATCGGTATATGTAGACTAATATAAAGAAAAAAAGGAAGAATAAACTAACGAAATTTGACTTAAAAAAAAATAAATGAATTGATTACTAGCTAAAATTTGCCTTGCAACATAATACAATGATATCAGGTATCGCCATCTAACTGCTATTTCTTAGTACTAATATCAGATTGTTGAAATAATAAAAATATATCATCAAATTTTTTTCTTTATTATTGCCTATATTGATGATATCAGTCATACTTTATGTGAAATATTCTCTATTTAAATAAGTATTTAAATTAATGAATAATTTTTTTAAATATTTTTATGAATAAAAAAATAGAATGGCTATGTATAAAAAATATGAAAATAAGAAATAAAAATTATTTTGTTTTTAATAAGATTTATTTTATAAAAATTATTATTTTTCGAAAATATTTTTTTTATAAATTAAAAAAGAATTTATAAATAAGAATTTTATATAATGATGGAATTACTGATTTTTTATATTATTATGATAACTTTTTATATTATCATGAAAAATATGATTGTATTATTATTGCTATATTGTTATCACATACATTAAAAGCTAAGATAATTTTCTTATTATATTTTCATTTATAATTAAAAATAATTAAAAATCATTTATAATTAAAATAATATCATTATTTATAATAATAATGTCTAATATATTTATAATAACTTCGAAAATAGTAAATAATTATTTTATTGTCATCGAGAATTTTGATATTTAAAATTATATCGTAAAATCGCACAATAAATATATATAATTCAATAATTGTTTCTGTTATGAATTTATCCTTACAAAATAATTTATTCGAAACTAATGATGTCATGTGTCAAAATTTCTAATTGAAAACAAATAATATATATATATATATATATATATTATTTCTGGGAAAAATTGTTTTTTAATCAGAAATCAATCGCCGAAGTTAAATATTCATGTTAATAATGTCACATTCTAAATTTTAGAAACTTTTATTTTTGTTTTACTTTAATTATATAAATTATATAAATTAACAGAAAAAATTTGAAGTTTTTTTTCGAATAATCATGTTTATTATTATCAATTCAATTTTCAAAAAATAATAGAATAATTTTCAATTTTTCTAAAAATAAATATAAGAAAATTATATCTTGTCAAAATGTTACTTATTTACAAAATATATTAAAACATATGCATTGATATTCTTGATTAATAAAAGAAAAATTTTATATGTATTATAAGAAAAAATGAAAATATACGATACAGTTTTTTTATAATATTTATAATCTTTTTTATACCAATTTTTATTTAGTTTTATTTTAACTACGAAATGTTAATATAGTTGTCAGCGATCGTTAATTTAACATATCACAAAAATTGAAATCCGATCAACTCATTTCCAAAATATTAATTCACATCTCAGGACACACGAGATGCATCAATCTATACACCACGAGAGAGAAAATCACGAATCTATGTCAAACGTTTGTGAAATTGAGGACATGTACGTATACACACTCGAGAGCTGGAACTCTTCCCCAGTGTGGTATTGTGAAGCGTCTCTTGTGGCGAAAGTTTATTTACAGTCTGCGAGGTATTTTCAATTCTGAAGTGCACGATTTTGCGAGATCTTATAAGAGTTATAAGAATTGAATTTTTTGTGATGCGGCGACATCTATTGGCTAGTTCTCTTCTATAGTATATTTGGTTTCATTTTATGAGAGTTATATGTATTTTTCTAATCTTAAAAAATTTTGAACTTTAGAGTTAAAATAATTCAAATTTATTTTTTTAAAATTTAGTTATATATGCCATAAATATAGTTATATATTTTACTGTACTTTACTGTAATTTTTTAAATTCATTAAAATAATTAAAGATACATTTGTTATATATATGTTAAATAATAAAAATTTATTAATATAAAAAAATTCAAGTTCAATATTATCATACAAATGTATGATCATGCATGCTTTTTTGATGATTGAAGGATGGAAAAGATTTTGATTATTTTGGTTTTCAGGTAAAAAAAATATAGTAAAAACAAAATCTATTATTAAATTTGGCATTTGCAATTTTAAATTATTGAGAAAGTAATAGTATAAATGTTATAAAATTCTAATTAAAAAAAAATAAAAATCCATTAATATTGAAATTCTATTCTATTTCTATTTAAAAATGATTGATGAAAAATAAAATATTTTTTTAAATATTTTTTCCATTAAATTCATATTCTCATATAAAATTTTTTTTGCACTTTTAATAAACATTGTTATAACCGAATACTGTACTCTACTTCAAAAATAATGAATCTCTTTCTTATAAACCATTGAATAACTTTTGAATAATAATGTAAAAATCTTTATAATACCTTGGATTTATTCAATACACTTTAAATGTTTTTAATATTTTAAAATTTTAAAAATGGAGAAATTTTGAAGAAAGTCAACATTTTTATTTCGTTATTCAATAGATTTTTTATAGATTAATTGTTAAAAGATTTTAAATTAAAATAATAATTATTTTTCTGATAAATTAAATGAATCCAAGAATATTACTGAACTTAAAATTGAATCAAATAATTGAATTCTTTAAAAATATATTTTGATCTACAAAAGATTACCCTTTTTTCAATTTTGGTTCGGAGATTAAGTTTTAATATTTATTGAAAATATCTCTAGATTAATAAAAAAAATTATTTTACTTATAAATTATAAAATTTCTAATTTATAATAAAAAAGGAATTTTAAAGAGTAAAATATCTTCATTTGTAATAAAAATTATAGTACTTTATCTATTATCATTTTGAAAAAAATACATTTTGTTTTAATATAAAAAAACCGTCTTTGTTATTAATTATACATTTATTATACATTAATTATATTTTTATATAAGAAAATTTTTTTTTCTTTTCCCATCACCAGATTTTGATTAAAATTTTCAAATGTTAATTTATATTCATATATATCATATATTTATATATCATTAATATATCATAAATATATCATATATTTATATATCATTCTGAATTTTACATCAGGATAAGATGGCGATTCTGTACAATTTAAAATTACAACTTAAAATATGTTAATAAATTTCATAAGTCATTATTAATAGTCTATTCATTTTTCATCAAAGTTATTAGTTAAAATTATAAAACGTAAATAATTATAAAATGTCTCATTACTTTTGAAACAGATTATATATATTTAATATATCTAGATAAATAATTAATGATCATCAGCAAGAGTCTAGTCAAGATATTAGTTATGCCACATATTATCATGTATAATATAATTATTCATCATATAATTATTACAGATATATCTCAATTTTAATGCAATGTTCCAAAAAGATTTATTTGCACAGAATTTGGCTATTATGCAGAGTATTATAAGTTCTTTGCAAGATTTCTTGTATTTGCTTTGTGTCTTTTGATAGATATCGATTCGATTGGTGGAAAACAAATGTTTATTTACGAAATGTATATTTACGAAAACATTTCATTTATTAATCATTCATTTTTCACCATTCTGACATTATGTTTAAACAAATACTTTCCACGATATTCTATAAGTCACTCACCATTCTTCTCTTTTTTGCATATCTTACATATAGATTTTACATAATTATTATCAATTAATTCTTTAAACGTTTAATTCCTTTGTAATATTTTCATGCAGTTAAAAAATCAGCTTGAATCTCTTGTACAAATTACAAAAAAATTTCACGGTACTCGGTTTTCTATGATTGAGCAGGTTTCACGGACACCGTGATGAAACTTGATAATACAATAATGGAATAAGATAGAAAGAAGAAAGGAAGAAAAAAAGAAGGAAAAAGAAAGCGAAATCGAGGATAGGAAGTAAGTGTAATTATGTACAGAATCTGCATGTTGTAATGTGGATTTGAGGTTACGTAATAACCATCTGGGTGAGATGGGATCAAATATATTGCGAATTGGTTCGAATCTGACTGGAAAGAATTTCATGATATCTCATGAATGCTCTTAATATTTTTGGACTCATTTTGTTTAAAGATAGATACGTTTTATTTGTATAATTCTTCAAATAATTATTTTATTTTTTACATGTTTCTTTGATGAGTTTTTTATTTTATTTGAATAGTTTTTTCTTTTATTTAAATAATAATTTGAATTTTTGAATTATTGAATAATTTATTTGAATAATAGTTAAAATTAAATTATTCTAATATTTTCTTTTAAAAATTGTTTTATTTTGCATTATTTAGCTTTTATTTAATAAAATTTATTATTTGATTTCATTACGAAAATGTAAAACTACTATAAAAAAAGTGTAAAATTATTTTTTTGTGATAGAATATTATAAATTTTTATTCACCAAAGTTTTTTTATGTTTAGGTCTAAATATTTGCATTTTTCTTGTATATTTCTTGATCTAAGATAAAATATTGTTTTTTAGACAAAAAATTTGAAATAATTAAAATATTTGATAAAAGAATCATTTGAAAATAAGTTATTTCTCAAAGAAATTTTAATTATTTATAAATATCTTTATTTTAAATGAATATATATTTCTATTTTATTTAAAATAATTATTTTTTTTTCACTTTTATTTCAAGTAAAAGATGATCCTGATTTTGTTAATTTCAAAATTCTATAATATATTCAAAAAGTATTGAATTACTTATTAATATTATTATTCCATTGTCTTTTTTACGGACAAGATATTTAAAATTTAGTCATGTTCAAATGGATGAAAAAATATAATAATAATTTAAATAAATTCGATTTAAACAAGATTATTAGATTGAATTACATATAATTACTTTGAGAAGTTTAATAATCGAATCTTATAAATTTGAATCTTTCAAGTATTTTAGCTAGGAGTTTTCTATTCTGTGCAAATGTATGAATGTTATAGTTTGCAATATTTCCCATAGTTTTCTATTCAACAAGTTGATATCGTATTGTATCTCTTATCTTTTAAACTTTGGTTTCTTACTATTTATTTTTGTAAAATTGTATCTTTCAAATATTAAATGTATTTCTAACAAAACAAATTTCTTATATATTAATATACATATAATAACGTAATACACATATAATGGAGAAATTAACATTATTAACAAATATATCCCATTTTTGTTCAATTTGAAATTGAAGATGTAAAAAAATATTTAAATAAAAGAATAAAAAATTTTAAATTTAATATTTTTTCTGGAACTCAAAACTATATAATATATGTGTAAATATTTTAAATATTTTATAAGTAAGATAAGAACAAATTCTTTTTGCATAAAAAGGATAAACTGATCGATTTTATTAAGATTATAAATTATTTCTATTAATCCAAAAAATTAAATATCAATTGAGATACTAGAAATATTATGATACTAAAATTTAAAATTGGAGTTGATCGATGTAAATTTTAAATATAGTTTAAATATAAAAATTGAACATTTCATTTATCTTGATATCAAAATTGATTTAGATTCGTAAGTATGATATTATTATCTAATATTTATAGTAAGTAAAAACAATATAAACAATATATTCAATCTAAATAAACAATGAATCTCTAAATTACAAAAGATCTTCTTATAATAATTACATTATTGTGATTCTTTAAATTTTCAATATCAAAATTAATTTATATTCGCGAGTACAGATCTGATGCAAAAGATGAATCTCTATCTTATAAAAAATTTCTTTTCTAATGAATAATATTATGATCTTTGAAAATTTCCATATCGAAATTAATTTAAATTCGCGAGTATATTAATTAAAATTAATCTTATTTTCAATATTTGATGCAAAAAATAAATTCCTAAATTACAAAAAATCAATTTTTTAAATTTTCAATATCAAAATCAATTATCAATGTTAAATTTGGTAGTTAAATATTTAAAAAATTTTAATCATTAGAATTGATTCTATCTCCAATTTCTGATGCAAAGATGAATTTTTAAATTACAAATGATTATTAATAACATCATTACAATTATTAATAACATCATTACTTCAATTAAAATTTTTAAATTTGAAATTAACTTAATTTCAATTCTTAATTTTTAAAATTTATAAGTACAAATTAATTTTTTCCCCAATTTTTGATCTAAATAAATCTCTTTCAAAATATCTTCTCTGTTCTAATTAATATCATTATTATCTTTTAAGGACTTTCTTATTACGAGGGCTGCGGTGGAAAGTCACATTTTTCTTCAGGAATCATTTCGATCCCACGCATCTCGAGATTGCACACTTGTTATGCGAATGTTTCGTTTCGATTTCACTCGAGAATTGACCGAGATTACACTCTTGCTCGTTGATTACAATATTCTCGTTGCATTCCATTGACCGAATCTCTTCTGTTTATCGAAAACAGCCGACGGATCTTTCAAATTTTCACTGTTACGTAAACCGGTATATCGATTGGATCATTAATTGCCAAAAATTAACGATTAATCTCTTACGATTAATCTGTTTAATTATTTGAACTATTGAAAATTTATAAAACGAAATTTAATATTCAGTCAATCGAAAAAGTATTTATACGTTATTTTAGAAAAATGTTGAAATTTATATATTTTGGAAAATCTGATTTTAATGAAAATTTTTATATATAGAATATGATATGTGATCATATCACATAGAACAATCTATTTTTCGATAGAAAATCTTTTTGAATGCATGAAATCAATCCTCAAAGTTTTTTAGACAATTTCAACTAGAAATATTTTTTATAATTTTTATGTATTTTTTTATATATTTGATATATACTATAATAGTGAAAATAAAATTTAATTTGATATTGGACACGTTCATATAGCATATATATAACATATATAGTAGCATATATAGTAGCATATATGTATTAACTATTGCAAGGAAATTGGAAATATTTAAGAGATTAAAAGGTAAAAATTATAAAATTAGCAAAAGTAATATTAAAAAAAAAATATAAAAGTATATTTAAATAAATCTAGACAGTTTTTAAAATAGCTTTATGTTATATTTATATTATTAGACTAGGAATTTTTATGTAAATACATATTTTTCATATTTTTCATATTTATATATATTTTGCATATTTTTCATAAACGATATACATGATTATATTATATATTTTTCTTCTGATATTAATTTTATTTGTATGATAATTGAATATGAAAAAAAAAATTTAACCATATTTTGAATAAAACTTCTGATTACGATGTAATAAATTAGAAAATTAGAAAAATTCTGTATAGTTTATCTGTAGAAGCAATCAATATAATGTTCGAACAATATTTATAATAGTTTATAGAACAATTTCATTTGAAGAAAAAAAAAATGAATATGAATCAAATTTCATTCATTAATTTATCTCACTCGATATTTTTATTTGAGATTTCATTTTCAAAAATTGATGAAAATAGAGACAAAAATTAAAACATTATTATATTAAAAAATATTATTATTTCTCAAATAATATTTAATCTTTTGCACAGTATATTATATCTACTATTGAAAAATTGGATTGAAATAAATCCGCCATAAATGTTAATCAAACAACAAAAAGTGTTTGATATTGAAATTTGATAGTCATTATATATGAATTAAGTAAAAATTTATATATTTGGCTCGATTTGTGAGGTGCATTGAAAAAGTCTTTTCGTGGTTTTTTTATATTTAATTTTCCATTGATTGCAACTGATATTAATTAATTAATCAGATTTGCAATTTAGATGAAGAACACATAAAAAAATAGAAGAAATTTTATGAAAAAAGGTGACATATAAAAAAAAAGAATTTTGATATTTAAAATTTTTTTTATAATTTTTTGTAATATTATAGATAGATGTGGGTATTTATTTCAATTAAAATATATTTTTATCGAAGTTAAATATTACAAATGAAATATTATATATTATGTAAATCTTATATTTATATATTTGTTATTATTTTTTCTAAAGTATTTCTCTTCTGTTTAATTTTTGTTAAAAAAAACTTTTGTTAAAATACTGCATGTATCGTAATAATGGGATATTTATTATGTTAAATTTTACTTGTAGAAATTTATTTATAAAAAATTGTAATTAAGAAATATTTAATTTTAATTTTCAATAATTTTCATTATTTTTTAATGTGATTTTGATACTAGTTGATACTAATTTTTTTTTTAACAAAATTCTATTTCATTTCGATGCAATTCGTTCGCAAACATTTCCAAATATAAATATTTTTAAGTCAATTAATAATTGTGTTAAATTAATTAATAAACGCTTTAATTAATTAAAAAATCATAAGGAAGTTTTGAATGCTTTAGATTTAAGATAAAATTTATAATTAGTGTTGCAATGAATATACAATGTGCTCTAATAAAGAATCACATATGACAATAATAGAAAGAAAGAATTATTTAACTTTATAAATGCTAAGTTAATGAAATATAAAATTTATAATTCGTTGTTTTATAAAGATATATTAAATCTATTAATTTTATTTAATTCGAAATTCCTACGAATATTAATAATAATTTTCAGATATAAATATAACAAAATATTTTTTAAATTACAAGAGAATCTTTATATTCGTTCACCACTATATCTTTTAACAAGAAAATGTTTTAACGTTCATCAAGCAAACCAATCGGTTAAAAATTTCTTACTGTCATTACGCAATTCATTTTCTGTCATTATGATTTGTTAATAAAAATATATTTGTATTGAAATTTTATTGACTTTTATTGATACGAAGTTAAGACACGTGTACAAAGTGAACATGAAATTAATATTTTTTTATTCTTTTTTTTGTTAATTCTTACAGAAAAAATTAATTTTATATTCATTCGATTTGATATTTATTTCATATTTATTTTTTCAGGATTTAAGAGGTATATAATTAACTTGATTATTAAAAAGATATATAATTAATTTATTTTTATTATTATTCTTATAATTACAAATATTTCAATTAATAAATATAGAGATTTCATTGTATTAGAATTTTAATTTAATAATCTTTTCTTTAAATTCTTAAATTCTATAGAACAGAATTTAAAATTATAAAATTTTAATCGATAATTATTTTAAAACTTCTTTCACAAATAAAATGAAATTCCATCCAAATTTATTCCATCATCATTATAAGTAGAAAATAAAAAGCATGCATGAACATCCATAATCTATCTACGAATCTAATTCACGAGGATGAACACATCATTGTTCTAATTACCATGATCTCCATAACTCTCCAGAGGAATATTATTGTCCGCGACACGCAAGATTTCGAAACTCGGGAAGGCGGTTAAAGGAGGACCAAGAAGGGAAAAAAGTGAGAGCTCGATTTCACCTTACTAATATCGTCCTCCGCACTGATTTACATGATTTGTCTCTAACTCCATCCTCCATCTTCTTCTTTCACGCGGAATTCTTTCCCAACGACCTGGAACCCGGATTTGTCGCGAATTGGAGATTTTTATTCGGCACCGCACCCACATTCAGAGCCAGAACCTTCGAAACGATATTCAAATCTTCCGGATTCCCAATTCCTTGCACGTTGTTCGGATCGCCAGCGATTCCAGATTGATACAGCAGATGTTGAATTTGCCTAGCCGGCGTGGGAGGCTTCGATTGTTTGAACTGGGCATAAGGATTGTAGAAATTCGTTGGAGTTTTGTGCGGTGGAACGAAGCCAAAATTGCCTCTGTTGGCCGCGATTTTGTTATTCCCGTTGAAACCAAAATTTCCCACCAAATTGAAAGCCTCCTGACGATTGTATCTCGTGGATACCGAAGGCTGGAAATCGGTCGAGAACGAGCTGAAGCTCTGCTGGAGTCTCTGGTGTTGTTGTTGCGATTGATGCAACTGTTGCAGCTGTTGCGGTTGAATCTGTTGCTGGTGATGGAGATATTGTGATTGCTGCTGTTGTCGGAAGGGTTGTAGACGCAATGGGTCTTGTTGGAAGATCGGTTGAAAGATTGGAGGTGCAGCTACATTTGGTACTTCTAAAGTCAGGCTAGGTTGTAGATGAACGTTGGACTCGGCAAGAGGCTGGAACATCAAGAAGTTGTTGCTCTGATCGAAGAAGAATTGCTTTTGTGGTACAGGAGGAAGTTGGAATCGATTCAATCTCTGCTCCTCCAACTGCTTGAGCCTTTGTTCTTCCAGCTGTTTAAGCTTGGTCTGTTCCTCTAACTGTTTGATCCTGACTTGTTCCTGAAGGTAGTACTGTTGTTGTTTCTGTCTCAATTGTTGTTCATATAGTTGCTGCTGCCTTACTAGGAACTGCGTCTGTTGGAACTGTTGCTGCTGAAGCTCTGCCAATTGTTTCTCCAGAAGTTGTTGTTTAAACTCTAATTGCTCTTGAAGAGTCAGAGCTTGTCCATCGTTAGGCGATCTGAAAATCGGAACGACGCTTTTGGGTACGCCTTGTTCGTCTTGTTGCACAGTGAATGCTGCAACCAGAGGCGCCTGGAAGATTTTAACCTCTTCCGTTTTGTCCTTAGAATCATCTAATTCGGTTATTGTCATGTTATTCTTTGACGAAACTGTCGGAGTAACTATGGTTGGTTTAGGACTGACTAACGCATTTGCAATGCTGTTTGAAGCACTTCTAGTTAGACTCTCGGAAACATCCGATTTCTGCGTTAAACTTTCCATCTTGTTTACGGGGAAGATATTCATCGTGGTAGGTATCGTCTTCTCACGCTGTTCCTTCGATTCGCTTCTGAAATTTGACTTTTTTTCTGGCAATATCACGTTCTGAACGTGAAAGCTTTTGGCATCTTCTTGTGTCGCTTTCTCGATATCCATCGAAGGTGTATTAAGTGTCACGTAATGAATACCTTCGACGAAACTGGAATTTTGCAATTTATCTTCGCTTGATACGTCATCGTCGCCTGGGAAGCTCTTGAAAGAGAATGTGGTCTTTTGTACACCTAGATTGTCATTCAAATTCTTCTTTGCTATACTCTCGAACGCGCTCGTGTCCCTTTGAGAGATGGTTTCCGATTCGTCTTTGTATTGCTCGGCTGATTCAGCTTCTAGATCGGTCAGAGCTTTCAACAGAGCTCGACGAAGATTTTTGTCCAGTTTTATCGGCGGCTGGGTCACATCTAAATTTGTCGAGGAGATCTCTGGATCTTGAGATCTCGTCAGGGTGATCGATACCGTCGCCAAGAGAAACACTACTCTTATCTGTAAGATTTAGAAAATTGTTTATTGTTTATTGTGTTATATTTTATCTTTAAAATAAGTTTTTTAAATTTGCTACATTATGCTATAATTATATGAAATGGCAAAATTTACGAAACCATAAATTCATAAATTTTCGAAAATAAGTTATTAAATTTATCGAATAATATTTGCAATAATATTTATTATTAAATTAACTGAATACAATTGAAACTAAATACATATTTTATATATATATTTTTATTAATTATTCTTATAATTTTGATGTTATTTAAATTATATTTATATATTTTATATATTTATATATTTATATAATTATATATATTATATATTTATTATATATTTATTTTATATATTTATATTAAATATTTTTAATATTTGTTACAATTATCAAAAAAGAAAATTTAAAATATTATATATTTAAATATTATAATTTAAAATAAAATATTAATAATTATTTTTTTTTTACATATTCTAATATTAATTTCATTTAAAACATTATAAATATCATTTATGATTATTTCTCGATTATTTAATATTTATATAGATAAAGAACGAATTACATATTAATAAAGAAAAATATTAATAAAGAAGAATGATTAAAAAAAAAGAATTGTAAATTTGTTATTAACACTGACATTGAATAAATTTCTAATGAATGCTCAATCTTATTACTATTTCCTATCAATTTTATTTTCATTTTTTCAATTCTTTACTTAATTAATTTTATCTTTATCAGACTATAAACGATTATAGAATTATATATATATTATATAAATTAATATTTTTTTTTATATAGAAATTGTATAATGGATTCAATGATAATTTAATTGTATGTTATAATAATAATTTTATTTTCAATGTTTTACCGATTTTTATATAAATTTTTTATATTAATTTATATTTTTATAAGCGTAAAATAAAGAAATAGAATTTAAATATATCAATTTTTAAATATCATTCCACTTTAGATTTCTTCTTACATTCTTATTATATCAAAAAAAAAAAAAAAAAAAAATGAAATGAGAAAAAATATTTTTATTTGTCAAAATAACTTAAATTAATTAATAATTTAAACTTAATTTTGCTTAAGTGGAAAAATAATTATATTGATTTAATAATTTCATCATATAATTCAATCATAATTTCAGAAAGTTAAAAACTTTTTTCAACACTCTTTTTTTAATTCTGGAAATGAATAATTGCAAGAAAAGATTTAAGAGGAATTACAAATTGCAATTCGAAAAGAAAATCTAAGGAAAATGAGAATAATAAATTTTCATTTATAAATCTTATATGAATTGTGATTGTTTTAGAAACGCTTCTTGAATTAATTTTTAAAATGTAATTTAATAAAAATAATTTAATAAAATTATATAGACTATTTTAATAATTTAATTAAACAGTAATTTAATAAAATTATATAGAATAAATTCATTATATAATTTATTTTAAATTTCAACAACCATTTGCAGTCTTATCTGTAGAAGAACATTGCAATTTTTATAAATAATTATTTATTTTATATCTACTTTTCCTTCATAATAGTATATATTTGATGGAAACATCGATAGAATTTTCTTCTTTATCTGATAAAAAAGATAAAATATTTAAAATATTTAGATAAACAAAGGATTTTATTAACATATTCAATATGCGCAACATGAATATATATATTATAAGGATTTCTTATTTTATAGTAGTTGACGCATTCACAAATCATCATAAACTTTTCTAAAAAATGTGAAAAATGAAAAAGAATTTTCCACGAAAAATTTTTCTTTCATATACAAATGTTTTCATTAATATTCACAGCCATTTTATTATTTTTTTCGCTATTTTATAATTGTTTTTTGTACTTGTCAAATATCTATCTAGAAAGAATTTCCTTAACACCGAATATTAGCTATATTTCTGATAATTGAAATATTACCAAGTTGTATTTGCATAAATTATAAAGAAGATAATATAAACCGATCTTCTTTTGTCACAAGTTGTATTCGCATATGCATGAACTAAAAAATCGATTAATTATTGCACTTGTTGGAAAGTCGATGCATGAATTATAAAGAATTATCTATATATATACGTGTATTCACCACTGGAGATTTGACTTCGACTTTGTGCCGCATTGAATGTATTAAATATAAGAAAATTGTCTACAAATTTCTCATAAATTCAAAAATATTCACAGTTCAATCTTCACAATATTAGGGAACAGAAACTAATAATAGTTATTGCTAAGAAAGTAATAAGTTGAGCAAGTTAAACTATTTAACAGCCTATTAATATCTCATTGTCTTGCATGAAACATGTAATAGACACGGTAAATTCTCACAAGTTTATGAAGGTATTTCTCTATAATTATGTAAAAATGAAATTACATTCCTATCTTCATGAGACGAAAGTTTCATCCAAGTTCGACATTTCTAAAAAGAGAAAATTATTGTGAAACATCTAGATGCTTTGGGATTCATATTCGTATACATAAATTTAGCGGTGGTGATATTCGATCAATTAGTAAAAACCGGAAACAGGAATAGTAAATTTATAGATCTCACGTACTTTCTGATACTTTCCATTTGAATTTCAGAATACTATGAATGAATTCGATATGCTATCGTGAATGATTCATTAATTAGAATCAATTGATTTTATAGAAATCAATGTTTAGAATGTTTTTTTTCTATCTTATCTTAATGAATTCATTTCAAATGACTTTAATCTAATTTATAGAAACATACATATGTGTAACATATATACTTTGCATATTGATTGCATTTTTACTGAATTTTATTAATTAAATATATTAATTAAAACTAATCTGAATATTTTAAAAGAATTTTTTCATAAATTATAGTTCTTATAGAGTTGTTTACGAAAATATTTGAATACTTCTTTATTTTTTAATGAATTTTCTATTTTTAATTAAACTTTGTGAATATTTAGAGCATAATGAATTATATATGGAGCAATTTTTTTTTAAATTATCATTTCAGTTAGGTGAAATCCTCGAAGTTTCAATGCGTTTTTTAAATAAACTTAATATATATATTAATATAACTTATTAATATTTCGTTTCTTAAATATAACTTTAAAACGGAGATAATGTAAAATTATAACTAATAAAATATTTAAAATTTAATATTCTATAATTCTAATTACAAAATGTTCAAACTTTAATATTCTATTATTCTGTTATTAAAAAATTGTGATATAAACTGTTATTAAAAATTTGAAATATAAAAACATACTGAAACTTGAGATTGATTTCATTCTTCTAAGAGATTTCTTGTTAAAAAAAAAAAGTTTTATATGTAACTCATTGTGATCTACATACATACAAATTTTTATTTAAATCAAAAATTTCTGATTAGATGATTTTTTTTTGTAAGATATAATATTTTTTTAAATACTTTTTAAGTCACTATAGATATACACGTAAGATACATATCATATATACACATTATATATATATATTACCAATATAAATATAAATATAAATATCAATATATATAAATATATATTATATATATTTATATTTATATTGGTAATTAAATATAAATATATATTATATATATTTATATTATATATTTATATTTATATTGGTAATTAAATAAGATCTATAAAAATTATTCAAATTAAATCGATATTCAAGGAGTTAAAATGTTTGGAACTAATGTTTTTAAAAATATATATTTTATATATATTTTTAAAAATATGTATAAAAATAAAATATCTTTAAGACAGTTAAGCTTTATATATATATATATATATATATAAATATTTTTTATTTATACTTAATAATCGAATCTATATCCATATTATTAGTAATATTTACACGATTCGATATCAAAGTGTTCAGTAGAAGATATGAATAAGTATTAAGTTTTAGTTATATATCATTTTTTGACATTGATGTCTCTTAAATCGATATTAAATAATAGCTTTTTTCTTTCTAAATGTTATGTTATGTTAAATTTCTTTATATTATTGATAAACAAAATCAGATTATGAGTAGAATAAACTAATAGAACTATAATATTATATAACTATAAACTATAATTATGTATAACTATATAATTAATTTAAATGTGTAAAAAAATTTAATTAAAATATGTATTAATAGTTTATTATAAATAAAATTAGAGTTATAATTATCGATATCATTACTGACAATTTGATATATTTTAAATATATATTTATTAAAATATTGATAACGAAAATAATTAGAATATCTATTTTTTTATTCGAGATTATTATTTAAAATATTAACAATTGTTTATGTATTAATTATGGACGATGTTTGATTAATTTTTTATTCTATATATATTATAATTTTTTATTCAATATATATTATATGTACATATTTTTATTCTATTCAATATTCAAAATATCGTTATGATATTAATAATATAAATAGAAATGAAATAGAATATTTTTTTTAATAAAGATTTAATATTTATTTTTATTATAATTTATTACAGATAATATTTTTATGTGTCTTAATAATAAGTTTGAATAAGAAAAAATAGGAATCATTAATAATGTCATAAATGTCTTAATAATTATTATTTTAATCAATTATTATTATCAATTATTATTATATAAAATTATCAGTAATATATTTTACTACTAAATATATTTACTAAATATAGATAAATATATTCGAACTTTTGAATATTTAGTGAATACATAACAATCGAAAAAATCGAAAAGAATTAAATCTTAATATTATATTTAAGTAATATTAAATATGAGAAATAAAGATGTAAAATGAAAATATTTCATTGATATTTCCAAAATAATAATAAACAAGTAATAATAATAAACAACATAATAATAAATAATAATAAACCAAAATAATAATTTCCAAATAATAATAAACATGATGTGAATTGTAAATGTATCTAATTCTTTTCATGTACATATATTTATAAAAATTAAAAGAAATAAATAAATGATTTATTTAATTATTATTTCAAAAATGATTTATTATTCAA